AGTAGCTTATTCTGGGGTGTTTTAGGACTATTAATAGTGTCACACAAGTTTTTATAGTTTTAACCTGGAAGTCCTGTGCTGTATAAAAGGCTATTTTATACACACTATTTGTTTAAAAGGAAATTGCCCCCTTCTCGATTTCCTATCTTTTAAGTTGCTCTTACAGTAGCCTAATAACCAGTGGAACATGGTGGGGCCTCTGTTCTACTTTACTTTTGAAGCTGTACTTGCAGGGAGATGCCTGGTCCTGTGGGAAACTTCTAGCTGTAGTTGGTTTGTTTGTGCGTGTGGACAGAAAGCCCCTGGAAGGGTCATGTGCTGATTAGAACATTTTTCTTTTGACCTGGTTTGAATGTTGCCTCCAGTTCAGTGGGTTTTTGGTTTGTTTAATTTTCCAAGACATACAATATCCAATAAAGAGTTGTTAGCTGTTTAATTCTTTGCAATACATAAGTATGTCCTTCAGTAGAGATGTGAGTCAATTCCCCACAGAATGTGAGTCAATTTAATTAGTAAATTTTGTAGGGGATACTTGATATAGTAAAAATTTGTATTTAAGAGAGAGGGAATCACTCTATTGCCCAGGCTGGAGTATAGTGATGTAATCATAGCTCACTGTAACCTCAAACTCCTGGGCTCAGATCATCTTCCCACTGCACCCTCTGGAGAAGCTAATACTACAGGCATGTGCCACCATCCCTGGCTAATCTTGTAGGTCCTGTTCTGTTGCCAGGCTGATCTCAAATCCTGGCCTCAAGCAACCTTCCCACCTGTTCCTCCCAAAGACACATAGGCATGAACCTCCCTTACACAGTAATAATTATGTAATACCTTTACAGGCATAAACGATCACCTGCTTTATATGAGATCAGACAGTTAAGTTCACAAACTCATCCTAGAAAAAAGGCTACATCACTTCATTGCTGAATATCACTACAGTCACCTTGGAAGTACTCCCTTAGGCCATCTGGTGACCGAAGTAAGGTATGTAGCACGTTTTCTAGGATGAGTTCATGAACTTAATTGTCTGACCTTGTTTAGTCATATTTATGTAATATCTTTAATTGCAACTGAAGGAATTTGAGGTCTATCACAATTTTGATACTTCTGCTTCTACTTTACCTCTTCAGATTGGCTGATGTTAGAAATCAGATAATATTTGCTGTTCGTCAAGAATATGTCGAGCTTGGAGACCAGCTCCTCTTGCTTCAACCAGGAGACGAGATCGCCATTATCCCCCCCATCAGTGGAGGATAGTGCCTTTGAGCCATCTAGGTATGTGAGATTTATTTTTCTGCACCGTCTCTGGTAAAAGGACCATACAGATGTTAACTTGTCTGTGGGTTGCTTGATTTGTTTATATAGTACTTGTGAGTTTGTTTTCCAGGCCTTCATTGATGCAGTGAGGTTTTACTGGTAAGGACAGACTTGTGAACACCCCCCCCCATCTCTGCAGCGACACTATTGCAGCAGTTCAGTGTCAGTTCCATACGTTTATTGTGTTCCTTTAACGCGGTTTATTGAGATCTTATTATGTGTCAGGCACAGTGCCAGAGAGTATTAATATCCATATTTTTCAAGTGGGAAAACAGATTCAGAAGAGCTGAGAAACTTGCTTTTCATCATTTAGCTAATAAATGGCATAGCCACATTTGAACTCATTGGACTCTCTGTTTTCTTTTTCTCAAATGTGCTCTCTGATAGTTATAGCTCTCCAGGGCACAGAGAAATATAGAAAAATTTCACAGATATAGTCAAAAGATCACTGTGTCTGAAAGAAAGCTTAAAATTGTTCAGGTATAAAGGAACAGCTTTATTGTTATAGCTTTGTTCCAGGTGGCTCTTTGACCCATGCCATCTTTCTCAGCAACTTAGTTCATATTTGAGTAGGATAATGTGTAAAAATGTTCTTCAGTATAGTCCAGAGAGATCACTCTTAAGTATAGACAGATTGAATGAGGCTTAATTTGTTGTCAACTGAAGGATAAATAATGTAGACATTAACTGTCTTCCTTGATTGAAAAGAAAAACTCTTGGCAATTTAGGAATGAAAGAAGACTTTTTGGTAGGACTTTTGTTCAAAATCAAGAATAAATGCCCTGCTTAATGGCAAATGCTTAGTTCCATTAAAGAAAGGAACAAGCCAAGGATGCCTGTTTATATGTCTTTGACCATTTATTCTCCTACCCTGCTAGAAGGCAGTGCCACAAAAAATGAAAAAGGATAGATCTGTAAAGCAGATTGCCCCACGTGTCAACACTTAGGTTCTTTTTCAGGCCCACTGTCTGGAAATAATAGAAGAATTCCTTGTTAGATATATATCTCAATTTTATTTGGAAACTGTGGTCACAATATCACCACTATGATTTCAGAATGTCCTAAAATGCTGTTTTTCCAAATTTGGAATTTATTTGGAAAACTATGAGCTGCCACTAATGGGATGTCTGTAGTTGTGATGATTACAACTGTTCTCTGGGAAGATTAGAAAGATTACTCAAAAACAGTGCGTGTTCTTTGAGATGTCACGTAACCCCAGTGAGAATAGCCCACATCACAAAGTCCCGAAGCTGCTCATGCTGGTGAAGGGTGGAGAAAAGGGAAGACTTTTACATTCTTGGTGGGATTGCAAACTAATACAGCTTCTTTGGAAAGAAGTATGGAGAATCCTCAAAAAACTAAAAGTAGACCTTCCATTTGATCCTACAATCCTGTTACTAGGTATCTACCCAGAAGAAAAAAAGTCATTTTACCATAAGGACATAAGCCCTAGAATGTTTGT